CCAGGACGGGCCTGGCCAAGATCGGTGTGCCCTCCGTGGGGTGGGGGAGGGGGGTTGGAGATCTTGAAGGGGCCCTGGGATACACAAATAAATGGACACAAATAACAGGATTCCACATATCTTCCCATATTTTCTGAATTTCTGTCTTCCCCCCCATTGTCCATACTCTCCCATATTTTCGGGGGAATGGGCGATTCATTGTGTCTGTGTTTTTTTGTTCCCCCTCCTGAGGTCTGGGGGCTGCGGCCGATGGGTCGGGGCGCGGGGCGGGGCGCGCGCGCGCGCTCGAGGCGCGCTGGGGGGCGCGGCGGTCGGGGCGGCGCGGCGTGCGTCCAGCCGGGGGCAGCGCGCGGGAGAGCTCCCATGAGCTCCCGCGGCGGGCAGCCGGTGAGCGCAGGGCAAGACGGCGCCGACAGGCCTCGGAAGGAATCTGAACGGGCCCACAAGCACACAAAAGACATACAAATCCCTGGATTCCCCTTATCTTTTCGCATATCTTCTGGGCTTCGGTCTTCCCCCCCCCACACTTCCCACAGTTTCGCAGATTTTCCTGGGAATCGACGGTGGATGGTGTCTGTGTGTTTTCCCCCCGAAACTTGCCGAACACTCATGATACGGGGAGGGAGGTCAGAGCGGCGGGGCACGCAGAGCCAACGTTGCCTCGTCTTCGCGAAGCGGCATGTTCGGCATCGACATCGGGGGACGCCAAGGCTCTCTACGCGCAGGCGTCAGTTTCTCCGTGTTGGGGGGCGCTGTTTACGCCGATTGCTGCATGCCGCGTCAGGCCACGGAAGGTGGCGAGAACTCTGACACATTCATGTGTGAGTGAACCCTGAGTGATCAAAATTGGCGGTGGGTTGAACGAGTTGCGCTTCGACCGCAATCTTTCCCGCGCGTGCCAACTATGAACTTGGGGGAGAGGGGGAGTGTCCACTGATTGCTCCCCCCCACTGAATTCCCACTGGCATGGCCTTAGCCCCACTGGCCGACTGACCCCCTAGGTGGGGGGTACTATCAACCCACGGAGTAATGATGCACGGTAAGGATGCACGGGCCTTGGAAAGCCATGCTGGCGTTTGTCGAGCGGAGCGCCGCCGAATACCGAAGGATGCAAGGGTACCCTGACGCACCCCCATCCTTGCCGAACTGGCGCTTGGGGCACAAGCAAAGACAACGCAAGGATGCAAGGGGTACCCTTGAAGGTCGCGCGTCCCTGGCGCACACTCTCAAGGGCATCTATGGGCGGCGCCCACCTCGGTGGCAAGGATGCGCCAGGGCGCAATGCGTTGCTCGCCAGATGCGCGACGGTGCGCACATTGCGGCGGCAAGGGGGATGCGCGAGGGCAGCCTGCATGGCCCGCATCCTCAGCGGCGCCCCCAAGGTGCGCCACGCGCTGCAGACTGTGGCGGCAAGGTTGCGCAAGGGCGCCCTCCCTGGCCCGCATTCTTAGGCGGCGCCCCCAGCTGCGCCACGCTGCGCACATTGCGGCGGCAAGGACGCAAGGGTGACCCGGGACAGGTTGCTCATCCTTACTCCGCGGGTTGACTGTACATGCTGTCCCCTTCGGATTTCGTGGAACTGACAAAATCCCCACCGGGGGGGGGGGGGCTGGCGGGGCCGAGATATCCTGGCCCGTCAATATGGGAATCGGTGAGACGATGCTGGTCCAAACGATCGAAATAAGATTTCAAACGCGGAGGTCTGGCCTCCAGTCTGTAAGTTTTCTTGCTCCTCCAGCCTGAAGGCTCTTCTCGTCCAGAGATCTTCGACCTCCCAAGCTGAGGTTTTGGATCCTCTGGGGTGGGCGGGCGGGGGCGATAGCCGGAGGGGAAAACAGGAGGACAGAGGAGGAGGAGGAGGAGGAGGAGGAGGAGGAGGAGGAGGAGGAGGAGGAGAGGGAGGAGGAGGAGGAAGACGCATCAACGATGTTGTAATACATCCTCTCTCCAAATATCCTCTTCAATATTCCCTACAATGATATGTTCCCATTGCGGGAGAAGCCCCATGGAGGAACAACCGTGTGAGAACCCCCAATTCTGCCAGAACGCCATTCCTGGGACAGAAAGCACTCCCTGACGATTTTAATCGTGCCTGTTGCGCCCTGACATATCACAATCCTCAATCCTGCCGCAACACAATTCCTTTGACTTCCACAGCCGCGAGTCAGCACGACCGTTGCGTCCTGACAGCCATACATCGCGACAGAGCATAATCCTTGGGATTTCAACCTACGACTCCTCGAAACAGATCCAAATTCTTAGAACGAATGTGCGCGGCGCTGAAGCGAGAGCCACATTTGAAAACCAATCGGCCTCCATCCTTCAAGCTGCTGCGACCCTTTCAGCAACTGCTCGCGGCTCTGAGGCGAGCCACATTTTGAAAACGACATCTGCTCCATCCTTGAAGCTGTTGCGATTTGCTTAGCTTCAGGATCGTCAAATGGCGACGAAATCTCAAGCGAAACGCCCGGCCTGGCCAACCGACACGCCTGTGGGTGCGACAGAGAGGAGTTATATACGGGAGCCAAAAACTTGCACGACGCTTCCAAGGAAACATTCGCACCGCCTATGTGCAGTGCTAACTTCTCCGCGGCGTACATCGAAATGTCGCCTTTTCGGGCGAGACGGAAGGATTCCGGCCCAGCCGGTGCTAACTGTTCCTTGGAAGCGCGCGCTAGCTAGCTGTGCATTTAGCAAGTACTCTGGGGCGAAGAAAAGAGAAACCAGATGGCGAAATATACGAATTACCCCTAAAACGTATCATCCCCACGCCAGCCACACCGTTGTGCGACTGACCCGTATTGAACGGCCTCAAACCCAGGAGGACATTGCGGCGGCGAGGCGGCGAAGCCGCTTTGGATGCTGCAGGCATGCTGAAGGGGATGGGCATAAGGATGCCCCCCTCATAAAGAGAAAGAGAGAGAGAGAGAGAGACGCAGCACCCCGCAGTTGCGGATAAGAGCGCGGGGGCGGCGGGGACGTCAGCAGTCTGTGAGGCTCTGAAGAAGCCCGCCGCAGGCGCCTAATTTTTTGCACATTAGACAACGAACCCGCCGCAGGCGCGGATTCTTTTCGATCAAGCAATGTGAATGGGTCGCGGGGTGTGTCGCGGGTGGATCGCAGGTGGGTCGCGGGTGGGTCGCGGGCGGGTCGCAGGCGGGTCGCGGGCGGGTCGCGGGCGGGTCGCGTGTGGCATACATACAGCACGGACAAATATACCACAGCCCGAGGCCACCGAGCACAACCTGCGCGTACGAACCCGAGCGCCGCATAGCGACCGTAGGCGAAAGGTGCCACCCAACAGCCACAATGTCCGCGAGCCCAAAACTGTTACATACTCCCTGGAGGCGATAACAATAAATATGGCACCTCAAAGCCGTAAAGGGTGCGCAAAGAAAAGGCATCAATGACAACTGCAAAGATGAAAAACAGCAAACCTCGCGCCGCCACAGCGGCCACAAGCCAACGTGCCGCAAGAGTCCCAAAATGGGTATCCCACAAGCACACCGCAAAGCCCGCCACGGAACCGAACATGCAGGAGACCAACACGCCCACGACGAGGACAGCTACGCCCAGCGATACCAGAGGCACTCACGCCAACGAAGGAGACCTCAGCCAGCGCAGTGGGACTTCCAGACCACCGGAGCACAAACAGCCTCAGGTAAGCGCGATGAACTTCCTTCCTGATTACCGACTCCTCACGCGCGCTTTTGCACGCCCGCGAGGCCCCAGAGCCTACTCCGAGTTTCCGAATAAGCGTGGGGGGGGCGTCACCCCCGCCGACAGCCTCACATCGACCCCCGTCGCGGGCAGCCACCGCGCGCCGAAGGCGCTCCGACCCCCGTCGCAGCGCGACGACGAGGCGAGGTTGACCCCCGTCGGGGGGGTACCCCCCCACGCTTATTTTGGGGATGGACAGAACCCCCTGTAGCAAAACGTGGTTTAGTGAAAACGACCTCGGGCCAAAACCTGGCGGACGCAAGCCTGGAAAATGACGGCCGCGGCGCCCTCCCGAGAACCGAAAACGGACAGCTCACTAATCGACGTGTCAGGGTGGGGGTTCTGTCCACCCCCGATCATTGAGAAACCCAGGAGTAGTCAGACCTTAGGCTGTGGCACGCCGCGGGGGTCCCCGCGGCGCTGGCGAAGGCAGCCCCTCGGCTCCGGGGCCGCGCGCCAGCTACCGCGGCGGCCACCCTTCGGTCGGGCATGCCCCCCTTCAGGCGGATTTTGGGCGAAACAAATATTCACAAAATGCCCAAAAGTGTGGAAAAACAATAGAAAAATCGTCCCCAGGCTATTTTTTGACTATTTTGACTATTCCTCCTGTAGACGGACAGGCCCGACTTAGACACAGGCGCAGGTGCCAGCAGACGACCACGAACAGCCGCACGAGACGTGCCGAGAGCGGGCGGGCCCCAGCGCACGCCACCACGAAGAAGGCCTCCTCGGCGGCGCTCGAGCAGGCACACGAAGCGGAAAATGACAGCCCCGGGGGCATCCGGGGCAGGCAGTTGGCTTGAACCAGAGCTAGCTTGACCCGAGGAGGAGGAGGAGGAGGAGGAGGAGGAGGAGGAGGAGGAGGAGGAGGAGGAGGGGGAGGAGGAGGAGGGGGAGGAGGAGGAGGAGGGGGGGGGAGTAGGTGGACGGCGAGAATAGGAGGAATCGTCTCATGATAAGGTTTGCCCAGGATGCGTTCCTCCAGCGGCCCTCGTTTCTGCAACACGAATGGAACATTAGGGAGTCCGGGACATCCTGGAAATCTGACAGCACATCATTTTCATGACCCCTTGCTCCTCTGAGAGAAGGAGGGGGAGGAGAGAGGAGGCGACAGGAGCAAGGGGGGAAGGAAGGCGCGCGGGAGGTGGACGGCGACGCGGGGGAGAAGGAGGAGAGGGAGGAGAGAGGAGGGGACAGAACGAGGAGGAGGCGGAGGAGGACGAGGAGGAGGCGCCGGCGGAGGCGGAGGTGGACGGCGAGGAGGAGGAGGTGGAGCAGCATTTCCGCGCCCCCGCGGGCCGCACGCACTCTGCGAACCCTGCATCTCGCGCCGCCGATGCGGATCGCGGCAAGGCGGCGCAGCAAGAGGGCGCCCTCTTCTTCGGGGGGGGGGGGGGGCGACACGGTAGGATAGCGAAGGGCAGGGTAGAGAATCAGCTCGCTCGCTATAGCTGGGCTTCCCAGCACCTCCTGGCGCCGGGAAGCGCCCATGCATCGAGGAATGGGCCCGGCAGCGGGCCTGAAACCAGACGCATTCAGCAGATTTCGTAGCCTCTCCTTTCCCTATCCTTCCCCTGCGTGCGGCCTACAAGTTTGGGAGAACAAACATATACATAAGCGTAAACTTTCGGAGGTCCGCGCGGATTTCTCGAATCGGCGCTGGGGCCCCTCGCGCGCTCCGCGCGCCCCGCGCGCCCGGGAGGGGGGTCTGGCGCCGATCCGTGAAATCCGCGCGGATCTCCAAAAGTTCATGTTTATGCCATTGCTTGTTTCCCGAAAATCGACCCCAACACCAATGGCACGCTTACGCATTACTGCACGGACACTCCAACGCGGAAGATTCGAAACCAGCATTGCATTCGGGGGGGATTTTACGCGTGAGTGTTGCTCCACTGCTTCCGACGCCTGTAATTATCGGCGGCCGCCTCCAGCGAGGGAAGAGGCTCCCGACCTCGGTGACAGTGGCAGTGGCCGGGCTTCTCAGGTGGCCGAAGGATTACCACCAAGACCACAATCCAGAAGCGTCTTCCCCCGGCGGAGGCCCCCCCCCCTCTGCTGGTGTTGGTGCCATCTTGTGAGTATCGTTTAACCGATCCCCATCCCCAGCGGCGTGGCCTGGGCCCCACTGGCCGATTTACCCCCCTAGATGGGGATGTAGGTCGTTCCCTTCGAGTTTCGAGGGGTGTATCCCCAGCTGGGGTGGTAATTTGGTGGGGGTCTCGAAGGAGATGAGGATGGAGATGGGGGTCGGTTAAACGACACTGAGAAGCGTCTTCCCCCGGCGGAGGCCCCCCCCCCTGTGCTGGTGTTGGTGCCAATTGGGGGCGATGCCAAAGCGGGTCACGACTGCGGCGGTCGCCACTTCCTCCAGGACCGCTTCCTCGAGGGAGCCCCACTGCCTCGGGAGAGAGTGGGCCCTCCAGAGCACCCCAAAGCCTTCCAAGAAGACCCCATACGTCCAAACATCTCCTCGAGCTTCGATCCGAACCTCGATTCCCAGGAGGAACTGGTGATCCCCCCCAAAGGTGACCTCTCTTGGCGCTGCTCGAAATCTCCAGGTCTCCAATCGAAGATCCGCTGACCCGGGTCAATGCCCCGTGTTAGTCGGGCTCTGCCTGATCCTACCTTGTCCTGCAGGATCCTGGCCGCTAACCCGGGTCAATGCAACCTTGGCTCTGCAGGATCCTGCAAGGTCCGGCGCTCTGGCTGACCCCCGTTTGCATTGACTGCCGTCTCAATTTGGGGGGCGTCCAAAAAGGGGGGCGTCCACGAGGAGGGTTTGCAAACCGTGGCCCGAGGCATGTGCGCGGCCCAGGGGGGGGGAGGGACAGGGCACGTGCTGAAATAAGAAGAGGCGCCATGACATCTGGGGAGATCTCGTGGCCCTGGCCCCGACCTGCCCCCCGCCCCCCCCTCCGTTCATCACCGCCCTCGTGGCCGCCCCCGAGCAGGCTCCCGATCCAGCACTCTGCAGCCCGCGCCGGGGCGGGCGAAAACTCGCGGGGCGCTCGCCGCCAGGGGGGCAGCGGGCCGCCTGGGCCGCCGGTCCCAAAGAAAAAGAAAAAGAAGAAGAAAAGACGGATAACGAGACCAATAATCATAATAACAACAACAACAACAACAACAACAACAACAACAACAACAACAACAACAACAACAACAACAACAACAACAACAACAACAACAACAACAGCAGCAGCAGCAGCAGCAGCAGCAACAAGAACAACAACATCAACCACAACAAACACAATAATACTAATAATATAAACAATACTACTCATAATCATTATACTAACGATAACAATAATAACAAAACTAAGAATAACAATAATAAGTATACTGAGAGGATCGATCATACGAATGATGCTAACAATACGAATGATGAAATTGATGCTAATCTCAAATCACTAATACCAGTACGACTCCTAAGTATAATACTAACACTGATACGACTGAACATACGTACAACCAGCTCACTACTAATACGGGTAATAAAAGTAATGCTACTAATGGCAGTAAGAATGGCATTACGAATGAAGCTGATAATGAAATTACGAACAACATCACTATTACTACTAATAATACGTCTTATATGGTTACGCTCTACTAAATACTAGTAATAACACGCATCATCGTAATACGATTGGTAATGCTACGAATGCTAAGAAAGGTAGTCATACATAAAAGAAGACCAACGATAAAAGCAGTAGCAAGAACAACAACCATGTGATGCAAAAGAATGATAATACGGGGGCGCCCCCCGAAATGCGGGTGCCGCTAGAACGAAGTACGAAGGGAGGCCAGGGACACACTGGCAAGTGGCGACCGAACTCCCGGGAAACCTTGTGTTTTTACACGTTTTCGGGATTACCGTCGCCCCCTCCACTTCCAATTTTTTCCCCTATGTCCCTGGCAATC